GATGTGAGTGGTGTTAATGTATGTGCCACCAGTTTTCCTAAGAGACACATAGGGATCCCAGTACTAGAATTCTTCCAAGATAGAGTGTTTCAACTTTCATTTTACAATGAGAGAATACAGTAATTTGGTTTTGGAATAATTATTATGTCAGGTGATATGCAGGTGCCACTCTGCCTCCACTTATTTCTAAGTTTTCACAGCCTAGCAATTGTCATAAATTTTTGTGTTGGCACATACCTACAGTGCAGTCAAGTTTAGATATGTGGAAATTGTAAGCTATCCCTAATTTGCAGAACTTGCTTTAAGTTTTGTTTATCACAAAAATTAAATCTGTAATTACATTGGGTAGCATAACTGAGGTTGAAATTAATCTGTGATCCTAAATGTGGTTTGGTAATATAAAATATGCAAGGTATATTTGCATTTTACCAGACTATTTTATAATTTGGCATCAGTGTTTAACAGCTGCTACCTTGAAGTGTATCAATTTGCTATACACAAATTTAAAAAAGAGTGGGAAATAGTTCAGACACCATTCTGTCACCGTCTGCACTTTCTCCACAAATTGCAAACATGTGGAACTGCCTATTTTAATACTAGTTTTCTTGGGCCAAGAGGTTTTCATCTTTGAGAAACTCCATGTTACAATTTACCTACCCCAAAGGAATCGGATGACAATCTGATTTAATGTAACTTCAGATTTAAAGTAACAATATTACAATATACATTCCTCTTTTATATGTTTTTTTAATGTACTATATATGGGTTAAGGACATTTCTCTGTAAATGTTTCCAGATGATATATATCATCTTCTAGATGCACAGATAGGCACAGTAACTCCAAACTAAATCAAGCACTTACCCCAGCGTAAATTCGAATGACAGAAATAGACAGATGTAATGTATAACTTCCAAAAAGCTTTTATTTTTCTATGCAATTACCAGAAATTAAATAACCAGAAGACTGATTCAGCAAAGAAGCTGAGTGAAATTGCCAATAAGAGGTTGGTAAATACAAATTTTGCATATTGAATTTTGTTTAAGCAAATTACTTTTGCGTATTTATCTATCCATGTCTGTCAGACCTCAAAAAAAAAAAAATCAACTGCATTGCTTAGCTGTTAAAAACTCCAAAACAGTAAAGTCTCACTGAAGTTTACTCTTATTTTAAAACTGTCAAGCTGCTATAGTCCCTCAAAACTTTCAGTAAGCCCTTGACCACTGAAATTTGGTCTGACGTTTTCTATTGCAGTAACTAATTTACTTAAGAAGAATTTGGTTTTAATCTGACTGTATTGAATCTTGAGCTCTTAGTTCAGCATTGTTTTTATGACTATTTTTTCCCACAAAAGCCCCCTTGTTTTCCAACACGAAGTGTTAGGAAACAGAAGGGGTTGGATAATCATTACAATCAGGTAACCTGAAATTGCCCTGACCAAGGGCTTGTAATGGGTGATGCCTAAATGCATTTTACACACCTGATGCACATTTATCTGTCAGTGCATGTGGGTAAAGCTCCCTGTGGCACACAGGTGAACATCACTCTCCCACCTCACACAGGCTTTCTGACTGTTTTTTTTTCTGTCCTATTTATGTGCTGATGTAGTCCATCTTCACAAATCTGATAAATCTTTGCCAAGTATGTCCCAGGGCCCTTTGGAGTTACAGCATGTGAGGATAGGCATGGGAAGTAATTCTAGAAGTAGCAAGGACTTGCAGTAAAGCTGACAAGGAAACCTGGAGGAATGCTGAAGCCATTAGTAATGCTTTTCTGTAGGAAGCTCAGCCTTGTCAGACAGTTAATAGCAAATATCATGGTTTTGCAGTGTAACTGTATAACCTCTGTGCATATATTAGTTGTGAACTGCTCCTTTTTGGAATCAGTGGAAAATGCTTTATTCATTGGCTTGAATCCATGGTCGTGTAGCCAATCTAATCTGGGTATTCCTATTCATCATAAGTGATACCTTATTTTTGGTAAGCACAAGTAGGCTCCAATAAAAGATTTGTGCAAAGTACTGGGACTCCTGTGCAGCATATTGGCCTAACAAGAATGAAATCAAAACTCTGGTGGTTGTAATAAAAATTAAACTCAACTAATTCTGAAGCCCTAAAGTAAATAAAAATAATTTTAAAAATGCATTATTTTTTTTCTATATAAGTGGGAAGAGTAGAGATGGGGACTAGATAGGGTCAGTTCATGACAGTAAGCTTGCTATTGGTTTCCTTCCATTTTGTCAGTGCCAGAGAGAGATAATATAAAGGTTTCCAGGACTTCCAGGAGAGGGATCTGCTGTAGACCATAGCAAGCTCAACTTACAGAGTGATGTCTCTCTGTGTGTGAGGCTTTAGGCAGTGTTCCCATGTTAAAATGCATTAAAGCAACCTGTGAGGTCTCATCCATGTGCCAATTCAAAGGTGAGCCAAGCTCACTGTTGTGACAAGCTTTGTCATGATGCTGAGGAAAAAAACCATTGGTATAATTCTGCAAATGTTTGCTACAGTGAGCAGGAATGCTGGGCATTTGGGGTTGCCTCAGCTGGCATCTTCTGTGCTTTTTTGTGTGTGTCTGAGATGGGCTGATTGTCACAGCTCTGAACTGGAACTGGAGCTCAGCTCTCTGTGATCATGTATCATTACCTGCTTTCAGATGTGTTTGTTTCCTGCCTTCAGATGTCAAATGAAGATGGCTGTAGTTTGTTCTTTTCCTTTTATTCTTGTTTGGAAATGATAAAACTTTGAAGGTTATAGAGTATTCTTATATTTTTTTAACGGAAGCCAAATAACTTCCCCCATGGCTGTGCAGACACTGGGCTCTGTTTGCTTGGAGGGTGACCACTTTCCCTTTGCTTCCAGAGTATAAAAATTTGTCATCTTCTTATGATCAGAGATACCAGTCACCTTGTCTAATCTCAATAAACCTTGTGAGGCCATTACAGCAGTCTCTAAGACAAGAGACCAGAAAAAGGAGTTGCCTTAGAATTTCCTGAGAATTGCCACCAAATTAGCAAATCAATCTTCAGGTTTTATATGGACTAGATAAATCAGTGTCTCATTTTGGCTACAAGTTTGATAGCTTCTGCCACAAAGGAAAAATTCAGTTTCTGGCCTTCATCTCAGAAGAGTTTTTAAATTTCCTGCAATGGCCTGGAATCAGGAAAGGAAAATCAAATTCTTGCCTGTATTCAGATTGCCCCCTCTACCTCACCAACTTTGCCTGTGTTCTGAATTATGAAAAGGGCTCTGAATATGTATCCACTCCCAAGCACAGATTTGCTGAAAAAAATTGCTTAACTTGAATTATTTAAATTCATTAACTCTTAAGTCCTAGTAAATCAAAAGTAAGAAACTAAGAAGTAACAAAAATGCAAGTTGCTATCATATTTTGAGAGACAATTTTACCTAATCCCCAAAGAATGAAAACTTAATGTAATCATCTAACCAAGTATGATCCCAGATCCCTACAGTTGTTCATTTAACTGTGAGGCTAGAAAAGGGGAATACACTAGGGTGTACCAAAAGATGCTTTCAACAACCTCATTATAAGAGAAATTCCAAGTTCAATCATGATAATTGGTTATGAATTTGTCCTTTTGTTCAGTTATGCCAAAGCCATATGCAACAGTGGTGTGATTTTAGTGTTCTGTGTAGCTGTCCCCTGACACACAGAACATGAAGGACATTAAAAACCATCCTGGGTTTTTTCTCATTTGAGCTCTGGAAGACCTCATCCTGACTTACCTGCACATGTGGATTTGTACCCTCATTCTCCTCAGCTCGTGTCTTTCAGACCCTTCTGGATGATCACAGACACTTCCCCAGATGAACACTTCTGTGCTTCCTCACTCAACTTCTGTGGAGCTCTGACCCTATAATTTTGTAATCAGACATCAATGTCTGATTGTCATAATTGTGTGCCTAATTTGCATTCAGAATTACCAAGATTATGCATGTCAATTAGGTATATGAGTCTGCAATTAGATATTGCACATTCTGGTATTTGCAGATGGGAATTAAGCATACAGTTGCCCGGGAATGTTTGTGCACACAGTTGGACAGATACCCAGTCAAACAAGGGCTCCAAAATGACAGCAAAAGGAGACTGAGATAAACCAGTTTATTACTAAAAAGAGCTCTCTAAGTTGTAACGTTGAAGTATGCTTTTTGGCTCATTAAGAGCAGGGGACTCCTGCTTTTTGGGATCTGTTTGGTTTCTGAAAGTTATTGGAAGTGGAATTAAGGTGATTTTTATCTCTTTCTGAAAGCATGTATTCTTTATCTTTAAACTGATATTCCAGTAGTATATGTCTTGTCCTGGCATTTTTTCACTACCAGTTGAGTTGAAATACCCTTTTCTGTTTTGCAGTTCTTTTGTATCTTTTAGCCAGTTGTGAAGACTGAAATAGCACTTCACATAAGCATTGCCTCCCCTGCTGTTTCCCACCACACAGAGCTTCATTTTCTCCTTACAAATTAATTGTCTTCCGTGTAGAACAGTTTTTAATAAGTCTAATATTAATATTGAGTGATAAACTGCATTTATACTTCAATGACCTAATGATTAGAATCTACAATCTTTTAGAGGTGTGCACTCTTAAAGCTGAATTTTGGAAATAATTATTTTTCTTAAGTATCAGATTCCAAAAACCTAGAGGGAAAATAGTTAGAAATTATATAAAATTACTATATGAAGTGAAAAAAAAATGAAGCAGATCTCTAAATAAAAACATAAACAAAAAACCAAAACAAAATTATTTGATTGAATAAATAGCCAAAATGTATCAAAAATGGCATGCCATTGCCTTATTATTGTACTAGCACATCCTTAGTTTAGTGTTACTTGAAGAATCAAAAAGGATTAAGTGGGAATTATTTTGTTAATTAGTGTATGTGGTCATTTAAGCCTAGGAATTGGTCTCAAGTATTCAGAAATCCTTAATCATTGACAGGTCTGTTGTAACAACATTCTGACAAACAAAACCTTCCTGTTCATGTTTCAGCATTTCAGGGAACACCTTGACAAACTTTTTGCAAAAGGAATTGGAATGCTGGACATTGCTTTGAATGAAGCTTTCAACATGCTCAATGAAGTAAGTTCATGCTTTTCAGATCCTTTTTGTTTTTCACCTCCTTCTTGTTTTCCCTTTTTTCAACTGAGTTTATATTCATGAAAATGTTTTAAAATGTTTCCTGAAGTATAATCATGTATTTTGTGGAAAAAATACTGAAGTGTGTTAGTCTGCTGGAAGATGAAAAAAACTCATCTAAACTAAATAGCAAAATGTCTTTTGATTGAAGGATATACCTTGGAAATAAGAGCTCAAACCCAAATATTCTCCAAAAAAGTTTGACTTGACAAGTGTGCCTGCCTTTATGCTGTGTGATCCTAGATTAATTAATGGTTCTAATTCCTGTGTATTCATCTTGAAGGGCAATATTGATTGATTCTTTTCCAGGCATAAAATCCTAAAATGAAAAAAGGAGTATCTTCTTCCACCCACTGCTCATGTGTTCAGTTAGACAGTGTGGAACTAATGCCTTCGTGTGGTGCATGCCAAAAATGACAATGGGAAACGGTGCACGAAGTAAAGGACACTGTTTGTAGAAGTTTTATTAACAATTGTGGGCACCAAATAGAGTCTTGGGAACCAGAAAAAGAGCATGAATGCCTCAGTGCAAGAGATGTTCTGTGCTGGTTCCCCAAATCTATGTGAACTGGAAAAAAAATCACATTGCAGGAAGTAAAGACCTGAAACAAGACCTGTTTTGCTTTGGTTTAAAATCTGTGAGGTAACTGAAGTTATAATGATGAATGTAGTATAAAAATCTCGTTAGATAATCTGATACCTCTGAGACCAAAGGGATCTGACATCCCATGTGCTGAATTGTACCCGTGATGAGATGTCTGTAAGATCATGATTGACTACGTACTTCAAGGTGCTGTATTTATTGCTTATGTTTATACTTTAAAATGAAGTTTTAAATGGGGTCAATCCTTCTTGCATATAAACTTCCAGAAATGCCAGTATAAAAATATTTTCCATTTTATACAGGCATATCTGCAAAGTCTTATTTATTGCTTATGTTTATACTTCAAAATGAAGTTTTAAATAGGGTCAATCCTTCTTGCATAAAAACTTCCAAAATGCCAGTATAAAAATATTTTCCATTTTATACAGGCATATCTGCAAAGTCTCTGGGAGATTCAATTAAAGCCACCTAGGCCAGAGGAAAAGCTAAATCTCCCCTTTGCAGAGTACAGCAAACCATTTTCCACTTTGTCTACAGGATGTGAACTTTATGTACCAGAAGCCTATTTGAATTATAGGTTAACTAAGGATGTCTTTTCTTCATTAAAAAAACAAAAAGCAAGTGGGTGAATGGGGAGGGGAAAGGAGTGGGTGGTGGTATAGTAAAGGAAAAAAAAAAAAAAAAAACAAATAGAGAAAGCTTTGTGTTACAGTCTATAAAGACTCTGGTTGGATTTTAAAATGGTTCAGGGGCTGCACTAATTAAACTCAGTAAATTTTGCCTTGCAATTACCTTTCAATATTTGCTATGGTTGTCAAGACTTGAAGATGTTTGCTACTGATACCTTTGAAAAGCATGTTTAAAAATCCACTTCCAAATCCTTTCCAATTGTCAAATAATGCAGTGTACATTATAGAGAGGCAGAATACACAAGTGCTTGGTACAGTACTTAGACACCTACTATGTCATGTGACAACTGCAATTATCTCTTTTGGTGACAAATGTGCTCTTTGAAGTGATTACCTTTAAAAAAATCATAACCAATTAAATAAAATTCTGTGACATTTCAAAGACTGTTAATCACAACCAACTGCTGTAAATGTCAGGATGCATTGAAATTTTTGCTGCTAACTGATGAATCACTGAGTTAATTGTAGTTCATCATAAGCCCCTTGTCATTGTTATTATTATGGAAAACACTTTCATCACTCTTGCTATTCAATAAAATTAAAAGTTTTAGACAAATATGAGAAGATATTACTCATCAAAGTATTTGAATTTAATCCCATTTTTCAAAATACTCAGATAACTGTGTAGAATAATGCAGATGCATACAGAGTGGTGTTTTAAAATAAATGTACAAAGGCATTTTCCCTTCATTAATTTCTCTTTTCAGACACCTTGTCACTTTTAAAATATATTGTCCATGTGAGGAAGATATCCCTAGACAAAGTAACTTCACCTTTATGTGAAAATAATGGCTGTAAGATCATGAAAGAACCCCACTTTAATAATTCAGGTTCTGGTTATGACTGGAAAACTTGTCATGATGGGAGAATTTTAAGGAGTGACTGCCTTGGAAATTACACAGAGGCAGTGATCACAATACAGCTAACTATAAATCCACATTAGCTGCCCTTTAAGGCAGAGTGTTTCTGGTGCTGTTTGCTGAGCTTTCTGTTGGATGAAAAGGAAGCTGATTTTGAGAGAGATGCAGGTGATAGAAATGGTTGTTGAATGTGGGTGTGGTTACTCAGACACAGAAATGTGAAAGCAGAAAAAACAGAGGACTTCTCGAACCCACCACCCACCTGTTCCTACTGCAGGCATTTCTACAAAGATGAAATTTTTAGAAGAACTTTTTTAGGAAAAGTGGGTTTTAGAGTTTGGAAAACAGAGAATATGTAAGGGCAAACAGACTGTGGAAAGCTTAAAAGATAGAGTTGGTAGTCCAAATCAAACCAGAATACTCTGACTATTTTTTCATGACTGCAAGAGCACTCAGAGTCCCTGCAAGGTAAGTCACCTATGAACACAGGTACTGCTTTCTAAATGGGACCACCCATTCTGGGGCACAGCAAGGCTGGTGAGGTGGGACAAGGTAATTCTTGCTTGGCTTTCTCAGCATCCAGAGAGGGGTAATAGGATGAGGTCTTGCCTGACCTCAAATGTGATAATGTACATGAAAACTACAAGAAAGTAATTGTAATATCCCATTTATTGATTTTTCATAGATTTTTTTAAAGTGTTCATACAGAGAAATCAAAAATCAATTTTACAACTTTGCTATTTTTTTTTGTCCTAAAAGATGGATCTTTCACCTTGAATACATAAGGCAATACACAGACCTATTCTGCAACCAAAGCAAATGGAGACACATGGATTCAGAATCAGAGCACCAACTCCAGAATGAAGAGATCAAAGCTCATATTACGACAATGTGTTTGCTCTTTGACAGGAGAAAATCCCATTTGTTTAAGGATGAAGCTTCCTTTGCTTATGCCAGAGGATTGGTGATTGCTGTCTGAGTACCTGTGCTCGAGTACTGCACTTCAGCAGCCTGAATTACTTATATATATTCATTTTGGGTAATAGGAGGAGGTCTTGCCTGACCTCAAATGTGATAATGTACATGAAAACTACAAGAAAGTAATTGTAATATCCCATTTATTGATTTTTCATAGATTTTTTTTAAAGTGTTCATACAGAGAAATCAAAAATCAATTTTACAACTTTGCTATTTTTTTTTGTCCTAAAAGATGGATCTTTCACCAAAGTACCTTGAATACATAAGGCAATACACAGATAAATAAGAACCTATTCTGCAACCAAAGCAAATGGAGACACATGGATTCAGAATCAGAGCACCAACTCCAGAATGAAGAGATCAAAGCTCATATTACGACAATGTGTTTGCTCTTTGACAGGAGAAAATCCCATTTGTTTAAGGATGAAGCTTCCTTTGCTTATGCCAGAGGATTGGTGATTGCTGTCTGAGTACCTGTGCTCGAGTACTGCACTTCAGCAGCCTGAATTACTTACATATATTCATTTTGGGTAATAGGAGAATCTCAGAGTATATAAATATGAGCTGGGTTCTCCCAGATAAATATTTAAAGGAAAATAGCGTATGGAATGTAATCCAGAGTGAATATGAATGAATGCCATATGAATAGTCAAATGTCTCTCAGGACTTGTGTATCTCCTGTACTTCTCAGAAAAATCATCATTCATTACTTCTTTTTGTGTAACGTGTTCTTTTAAATCAAAGCAAACCCTATGGATGCATCAATACTCATCATCTATCAAAACCAGGGGAATACCATTTTAATTTTGGGTAGTGCTACATTTATGTATGTTTCTTATTTTTAGATTCACCAAGAACACAAAATCTATTATAAAATGTTTACAGCCTGAATATTTTCAACTTCTTCTAAGGATGCTAGAGATTTGACAAAATCCATGTGTCTGTGATCCTATCTCCATATAACAGGGATGTGCTGTTCCTAATGGTTGTTTCCTTTTGCAGTTCAATCACACAGGACAAGGAAGCATTTGCAGCCAAGCCATAATGCTGATCACTGATGGAGCTGTGGATACATATGATACCATCTTTGCAAAATACAACTGGCCAGACAGAAAAGTAAGTGTGTTGTCACCTTTATTGAATGGGAAACCCAAAGCTTCACATCCGATCTAAAGTGTGTATCTATGAAAAGTCAGTAACAATCTTTTTAATGATCTATAAATTATTTTGGATCACTAATTAAAAAAAAAAAGATGCTTATATAGTATTGCTTGCGGATAGAGATGGCCTTTTACTGTGGTAATGGACTTAGGTTAATAAGATATAAAGGCACTATTTCCCTCCAGGTTTTTGAGCATTAGATAATCCTTCCCCTGAGACACATCATTAAGTATGAAAAAAAATTTTCTTTTTTCTCCCAAAATACACATTAATAATTCAATGCCTTTTCAAGCTAAAGATGGGTATGAACTATGGACAGCGAGTGGCTTACTATGACAGGAGAGAGCAGATATAGTACTCAGTATTTTTAATTACTTCATTTGGCAGAGTGAGGGATAGAGCTGATGGCAGAATTGTGTTAAAAATGTATTTGCCTTTATTGATCTGTATAAAGAAATTTGCCCAGAGTGAAATTACCTTATTATATAGAAAGTGGAAATTTCACAGTAGGGCAGAAATGCCTTGAATTTACCTGATAAGCTCTAGTGGGCCTTGTGTCTTCTCTACGTGACATGATTTTCTTCTACATTTTCTCTTGATCTAAAGCAAGTTTTGGGACTATTTTGGGAAGTTTTTCTTTGCCATGTTATGTGCCTCTGGAAGCAACAACCACATGGTTGGAAGCGCAGTTTGAGGAAGTAATTGATTAATGTGATTGTGCTGTATGGGGTTATGTATTCTGTGGAAAAAAAGTAGCTGTTTTAATTTTCAGCTTTTAGTCATGTTTCTCTTTTATAAAATTCTGTTTATTTTCTGAGTGACTTCTATCTCTGTTTTATGCAAATATAGTATCATTCCACTGGAAAGAAAGCCTAAAAGCTACAGGCTTTGTGGCCAGTCCTTCCTCTCTTACTCAATGGGATATCATCTTATTTAAGTTGTTAAGCCCTCAGATTTTCCATGAGAACATTTTACTTTATCTAACAAAAACTGGTGTTGAAGGAGTTCTCAGTCTCTCAGAAGGATGTGCCTCTGGTGCTGCATTTTCTTATTCTTTGGAGTTGGTTCCTCTCTTAAGAAGAAGAGACTCTGGGGAAACTCTTATCGTAGGAAATCAGCAAGGAAAGAATTCTCTGAAAGAGTCAGCTAAGTATTTTCACAAAAACATGTGTTGTGTATCTTTCATGTGCTAATCCTCAGCTCCATCTGAGATAACCACGCTCAGCACAGCTGTTGCAAAGAGCAGCAGGAGAGGTTTCCATTGGGAATTCTTCTGCAAAGGCCCAGCATCAAGAGTCCTGCCTTGTTCAGCAAGGACATGAAGTCTGGGGATCAGCTTTTAGTTAATATGCAATATTCTACTCAACTCTTCTAAAAATATTTAATGTATTAACACAGCCTTGTAAATTGTGTTTTAAGAAACATGTATGGGGAAAAAAAATCATCTTTTTTCCTCCTTTCAGCCTGAAATGTTTCAGTATGAAAAATGTAAAAGATTTCCATATGTAGGCTTTAATGCATTAGAGCTTTGAATGTCTTTGTTGGATTTGTTATTCTAGAAAGGAAGGCTATTGAAAATGCAATATCCTACATATTTGCAGTGTCAGTGTGCCTAGAAATTATGCATGCCATGCATTTGAAATTCACTGCCTTTGCATTACACCCCCTTTATTCTCTCCAAAGCTGTTTTTTAAATATATAAATCACACCTTTGGACTGCTTGATAGTTTTGGGTTATTTTTTTTAATGTACATAGTTTTCCCTATTATCTATGTATTGCCTTGCCATCTTTCTTATAATTTATGTTTTTCCTGGATTGTGATACTGGGGTAGACAGTGGTGGAAAAGGCAATAACTCTAATTGAGGTAAATTCTGAAGTTTCTGTTTACCTCAATTACCTGGTTAGCAAAGTACCAATTACAGTTAGAGTTGATCTAATGTTAGATAATAGTAAATAGTTATAATTAGTTGCAACATAAGCATCTTGCTCTCTTATAGAAAGGAAAATAATATCTTTATGCAACTATGAAGACTTTAAAAGTTTGTCAGTGATAATCTCTGAAAATGGAGAGTGAATACAAACTTGCAGGATATAAACACCAATTCATGTTTTCTTCCTTTTTCAAAACCATTCATAACTTTGCAAAATATAGCCTGAAAAAAAATAAATTATATACCATGTAAACAGGGAAAACAGCACTTTATCACACATTATTGGAGATATATTTTGTCTAAAAACTGATTAAAAATCATATTACTTCTGATAAAAAATTAAAATCATGTTGCAATTATTAGGAAAGGGAATTAAATGGCTCCAGTTAAGTCCCCAAAGTAGCTTAAATTAAGCAATTGAGTTTTTTGAAGGAAATCAGCCTGATTTTTTGTGTGAACTAGGAAATTATGACCATCAAAAGACTGTTAAAAATCATCTTCTGGACTGTTTCCCTGAAAGAAGGAATGTTTTCATTTTACTGGGTTTTTTATGAGTCTCTGTCTTCCTCAGCAAAAGGAATAAAAAAACCCCAAAAATATTTTCCCATGTTTATTTAGTATCTTCTGCTACTTTAAATGTAAATCTAGTATATGCTATTTTTATAACACACTATATTTTATTTATATGACTAGTTGTTAACATCTATTTCCTTTTTCTTTATGAGGCCATAGGTGCAATCTTAAGGAGCTGATTCTCATGCATTAGAAATGAGTTTGTGCTATATACATAATTTTTCTCATTCATGAAACTCACATTCAGTACTTTCAAATGTCTGTGATTCATTCAAGGCAACTCTGTCATATCAAGTACCAAAAAGGGAACAATTAATCCACAAGAGTAAATAAATCATATAAAATCACTACTTTTCATCATGTAGCAGGAATAAGTATTTAAAAGGAAATGTACCAAGGAAGTGTTTGTTTACAATGAGAGCTATAATATAGTTGCAATAATTTTATTTTTTTTAAGATGTCATATTTCAGGAGAAAGCCTTTTAAGTCTCAAAATATCTTTTTGATGTCAGTTGTACCAGAATCATGCTTTTATTCTATATTATTGCTCCTACTATGAGATGCAAATGCATTATCAGAAACCAAGGAAAATACTGCACTTAGGTATTTCTCCAGGTCCCTTATTCTAATTCAAAAGGATGAAAGGCCATGGGTAGGAGAGGCAGACAGGCAGACAGATAGATGAGAAAACATGGAAAGATAGTGCTCCAGGTCTGTTCCCAGAAGATAGTACCACTAATGATTTTTGCTTAAATAAAACTGTCCTACGTCCTTTCTAGTGGAAAATTCCAACAATAACTAGCAGAAAATTCCATGAAGATTAATCTTGTCAATGTTGCTAAAATGCCTTAGTGCATCAAAAAATGGAATTATGATGAGATTAGAGATATTAACAGAGCTTCAAACTTTGTCAGGTTCCCAGCTGAAAGCCATTTTAATCACTAACTGAAAATTAGTGATTAAATTAGAACAGAAAGTATCTACTTAAATATTATTTAACACATTTTGTCATTTTAAATATAGCAAGACTGTTCTCAGAATCTTGTGATATTACAAAGGAAAATAATGCAGTAAATTCTCTTCCATGAATTTGCACAACATTTGCATGAATGTGTAAGGCAACAATTTTAAACCCTATTGACTCACTGACAACTCCATGAAGTCTCATGATGTTTTTTCTCTACTGGCTAAAATGACCCAGTGCTTGCATATTTGAGGGTCTTTTTCTCTCCTCTATTTCCCATTGTTTTTATGTGGCTGTCAAGTTCTATACTTCTACAAAACCCATCTACTCTTTGCTTTGGAGAAGCCAAAAAGCATTTCTTCCATAAACATGATTGAGAGCAGAGTCTAAAATCTCACTGAGATCAAGGGGAAGTCAGTATTTCAGTTTGGATACAGACTTATAGTATTCTTTTTGGGTCAGTGCAGCACTCAGGTGGTCAAGTGAGATGGTCACAGCTTTGTGACCTTTCATGACTGATGGCAACCAGAAAGAGATGTTCGGCTCTTGGCCTGAAAGGTCTTTGCTTCATGGTATTGTACCATATGTAAAACCTGGAAAAGAAAGCAAAAGAATCACTGAATCATCTGAACTTCATCCTCCCCTTTGGGTGTGTCTTTGAGTCTGAAAAGCATTTGCTTTCATAATTATGTGAAACAGCTATATGCTATGTTACCATAGCATATATGTATATGCAAAACCAGAAGCACTAATTCCTTACGAAGTCAAGTCAAATGGAAACCAAAATCCCACCTAAAGTTTCCTCATTTTCTAGAATCAAATCCAGATAGAGAATCTGGGATAAAAATACCTCTGTATCCAGTTACCTTGTTAGTTATTCTACAGCCTTTCTTTTTCTGGGCAAGTAACAGGGAATAGAACTTCATCTGTCTGTCTCCTATTATTCTGAGGGCTCTGGGTAGAATTAATTCTGTATGGCACAGAAATATTTTCTTTGTGCTTATGAACCATTACAACAAGGCAGAGATTTAAGATGGTTTCTATCAGTGCTAAGACTTCAAGTAGGGTGAATATAAAGCATAACTGCAATAACATCTTTATTCCAACTGCTAAATGATTATGGTGTAGAAAGACCTAACAGCCAGTGCTGCCCATGTCTGAATGGAACCGTTGAAATTACAATATAAATAGTTCCATGACTTTCAAGTGTTTATACCTACTCTTACATCTGCTTTATAGGAAAAATTTCACAGTCTGGCAGGTCTCTGGATCTATATACAGTACTTAAAATTATAATTGAATCCAGAGAGCAACACCTTGAAATCTGCTGGATTTAGATTTGGTTTCATAATAGAATACTAGATTTGCAGGCAGTAATAATCAGTTAATAGCTTCTTAATTATGTGGGACTTTTATGCATACATTTACAGGATCAGTATTTATTTAACATTTAATAATATATGGCTTTCTTAAATATTTAAAAAA